CCTTCCTCTGAGGGGACTGCTCTGGATCCGCCTATGATTCAGTTAACCATTCATGCTTGCTGTATTGACAAGTACTATTCAATAACAAATTTAGGCTGTTAATTGCAATCTAAACAGTGAAAAAATTGATTTTTTAATGATCCAGTATCTAGTACTTTTCGTTTCGTGCAGGAGAATCGTCTTCAGACTTTTCAAAACCAGCCCACTTTCGGCGGAAACCAGTCGACGGCCTTGATAACGAGTGGCCGGTGGTAATAAAGTGCTTTGTTTTTTTCGAAATGAAAGAAATACGAAGTTTTTTTAGTTTTTGATCTAGCCACTGCAATATGCATTATTTTGATTTTTGAAAAAATTTCAGATTCGCTACGGTGAGCCAGTGATCCGACGTGCTGTGCCACTGGCACTGGCTTTAATTAGTACATCGAATCCGCAGCTTTCAATTTTGGAATCTCTCTCGAAGTTCTCGCATGATGCGGACTCGGAAACAGCCCATAATGCAATCTTTGCGATGGGCTTAGTTGGAGCGGGTACCAATAATGCCAGACTTGTTTCCATGCTACGACAGCTCGCCAGTTATCATCATAAGGATCAGGTAATTGGGCATTATTTGCGCAACAGAAATTTTGCAGTTATGGGTGCATTTGCACTTCATCGTTGTAGTTTTGGATTGGCAATGTTTGAGAACGAGGCATTTTTGCCGAAAAATTATGGGTGGAGAAGGTCAAGGCCTCGTAAAGTGCTTCTTTTGGGAGAACTGTTGGGCTGGTTTTTACGTATGACCTGTGGTTACTCGTTGTAGTGACGGTTTTTTATCAGAGGGGGGCATTGTTGCCGAACAGTTATGGGTGCAAAACGGCCAAACCCTTGTTAAGTGTTTCTTTTGGGAGAACTGTTCGGCTGGTTTTTACGTATGAACTGTGGTTACTCGTTGTAGTGCGGGTTTTTAATCAAATAATATGAAAAAGTGTTTTAATATAAAATGAGATCTGTTCTGCTGAAGTCTCTGTAGGTTCGAATTTTCTAAGCGGAATCGAGCTGAGCTGAATCGTGTGAAGTGTTTTGGGAATTTTTGAAAAATGTAAACTACGGATGTTTGTTTGGCACTGTAGGCCAGCCAATGAAAGGGACACAGTCGAATATTGTCAATTGTGGGAAAGCAGCGAATGCTAATTGTGAACGAAAGTAAATGAAGTTGTGAGCGAAAGTAGGGTAAACCTAGCAAGCCGGAGAATGGGATTTATGCGAAAATGCCATGATGCATTCTCGGAAGAAGAAAACTCCAGCCTTGCTGTTCAGCTATGGATGCTGGGATGGCGTCGACTAGAAAAATATGGGTAAAAGAATTTTTAACAAAAATCTACAGGACATATTTTATTGTTATATTTGTGTTTACGTTGTTTTTACAAGGAAAATTCCATCTGTTTCAGGTGAGTCTGATGTTGGTTCGTTTGGCCCAGGGTATGACACATATGGGCAAAGGAACAATGACGCTGAATCCATTTCATTCGGATCGTCAACTTATGTGCCCAGCAGCGGTCGCCGGACTTATTACCATATGCTACGCATTTCTAGACGCCAACAATTGTAAATAAATTTTTATTTGTGTAGTGAAATAAATGCAGATTCAGAATTAAAATACGAATTTGGTGGAGTATTAAGTGTTAGAGAGACGATTTCCCGGCATATGGGCTTGTAACTTATTTGGTTTTTTTTTTTTTGCACAAGTTGAGTGTAGCATCCAAGTTGACCCTGGAGGCGTAAGTGGTGAAGCTGCTGAAGAATACGGAAACAAAGAGCAGTAGTATCAGAAGAGGAAGCCAGAGTGAGATAAGGTGTTTCGGTCCATTAAGTCATATAGAGATTAACTTGATACCGCAACTGAACCTCGTCAGTATGATGGTTGCAGTGCCTAATGAGAAAAAGGAAGGTGGAAGTGGCAGAAAAGGAGGGAAAGGTTATATAAAGGTTTAAATATGTATTTTATAATGTCAAGAAAAATCGAGATTATTTCAGTC